ACCTAATTTTTACAAAAGCATCAAAATTATTGGTTCAGTCTTTAATTTGAAATGAACGATCATCTTCGATTCAATCAAATAATGTGTTAAAAAACTTTAGGTCGCTTCTTGATGAAGATACTCCGACTGGTCATAGCACGTTAATCTGAAAGACGTGTATAACTTATATTAGTTCATTCGATATACCATTTACTTTCATCATAAACAATTTACTATAATTACTTCACCTTCACCTCAATTTATTTTTAGTTGCATCAGCAACATTATATTTAAGTTAAAGATGATTTAACTGTTTTACTGGACAGCAGCGTATAAACAATTGACATTTTATATTAAAAATTATAATTCTTTCATTAAAATGTATGGATACAGTTTATTAGTAGTGCAGTTGCAAATAGCGAACAAATTTAAAGTTGGATATATAAAGCTATTTACACCAAAGTTCTGTCGCCTTTGAACCATAACGAACAACAAATTTGATGAGCAAAATTAATCTTTTTCATGTCTGTGATTTCGTGAACAGCCCAAGAAAAAAAAACTCTACAAACAGTGCTTTTTTCTCTACCCAAAGCTATAAAATGAAGCAAATTGTACGCGTATATGTGTTTACAAACAGATAGAATTACCAATAAACATGAAACACATTTGACACAAATTCATTTTTTTTTTTTATTATTTAAAAAATAGTTAACGGTGTCCCATCCCTATGATAATCCTAAAATATATTTCAAATTTCAAAATATCGGTCTGTTAATCTGATTTTAATAGGAAAGCAAATAAACAGAAAATTATATTTTAGAAAGCTAGAGGCTGTAAAATAGTTTATTGTAACTTTTGATGTAAATAAAAATTTAAGTCAAGTATAGTGAAGGTCTTTTAAGTTTTAAAGTTTCTTTACAAAGCAGACAGTTTTCAGATACGAGTTTTTACTTTTTGCTTTCTGGGGGCTGCATAGCTCTTAGAATGTGAAAAAAATAGAACTCGTGTTTTCGTCTGTCTGTGGACTGTTTTTTTTTTTTTTTTTGTTAAACAAATAATCGCTGAAACTACTGGACTAATGGTTTATCAAATTTTAAAATTTTAGATGATCTTAAGAATACCGTGTAAATCGTAAAAAGAAATTTGAAGACGTCATCTTAAAACTTTCAAAAATAAATCTTATCAACAATGTACTAAATAAATGCTTCAATCCACTCGTATTTTTCAGTTTAATTGTTCAACTCAAATAAAAATATAAGTTGATTATTAAACCGCAGATAAGCAAGCATGCTATGCGTATCGTCAACTAGAGACAAATATATCAACTAATAAACATACACTTTTGTTGGATTTGTTTTATTGTTAAAACATACTCGAAAACATTGCCTATACTTCTTATTTGAAATGAGATTTACTACAACAAATTTTGAGATGTCATCAAATTTTTTAATGAGCAATTAAATTCTGATTAGCAATTTACCATGTTCAAGATAACCTTAAAGCATGTGCAATGTTTTAGAGCAATAAGTTTGGTAGTTTCTAAGATAAATGCTAAAATTTTGTTGTACAAGTGCCCAAAGTGAAAAATAAGAGTGGATTAATAAACGACAAACCGTGTTAAGAAAAAAAAAAATTCTGAAAAAAATTTCCTAAAAGTTATTATGGTAAATTGTGATTAATCCACGAAAATATTTAAGCAAATTAAAATTTGTTAGAACAAAATGTACTGTAACGTTTAAAATGCGCGGCGCGCAGCTAGGCGCAAGCGACAGCAAGGGGGAGAAACAAAAAAAAGAGAGAGAGGTCATAAGTCGGTACGAGAAACGACGCCATTCTGGGGAGGCGAGAGAAAATCGGTGCCAAACGAGGGAAAGAACGCCGGAGGGACCGGAGTTCCAGAGCCATCACCGCGACAGGGACGCGAAATTCGATCACAGGATATTGGTACCAATTCGGTGAGTCGCGGGGCAGTGTGCACATACCGTCCGGGAGAGCTCCGGGAGGGTTTTCGCGTGGGCGAGTTTTTGGGCAAACCATCACCCGTCACCAACACCCTAGAGTCGCCGCCGTTTTTTTTTTTTGTACATATCACTGTATTATATACTAATTAAGTCTACCCGGGTGTTCGTTGCTTTTTCCCTTTTCTTCCCTTTCATCTCTTTCTTCTACTCTTCTTTCTTTTTTTGCTTTCCTGTCGTCTTTTTTCTGTATGCCCTTTTGAGGCATGCTGGCGCCCTGGTTTCGACATCTGATCCACCTTTGATCGACCCACCACCCCGCACCGACGAAGGAGTTAGTCAGGCCGTGGGCGTTTGAGGAGGACGTCACAGTACTATAAAATTAAAAAATAATTAGTAGGGTCCGGGTAGGTCAGTCGACTTCGCGCTTGCCCGCTTGGGTCGTAGGTTCAAGTCCCGCCGTGCCTCTGAGTGTTGTGTACGTCTTGTTTCCCAGTAATTGGGCCTCCAACATGGAGACAATATTTAAAACGCAAAAAAAAAATATTTCAATAGTGAATCACTACAAATCAAAAAGTTTTAGTCTGATTCGGTCCGGCAGTCAAATTCAGGGCCGCCGCTAGGACTTTTGACGCCCGAGTGCAAGTTTGAATTTTGCGCCCCTCTTCAATATAGATGATGAGATTTTTTTAAGTAAAAATTGTGTTAAAATAAGTGGAAAATTAAGGACGAGTCTTTAAATTGTTAAAATTAAAATTTATTTCGTATCAAATGAACAAACAAATACCTTTATCGAACACAAATCTATTTTGCTAATAAAACATATAAATACATAGATATGCATCCATATAATATAACTGAATACCAAAAAAATAAAAGAAACGAAAAAAAAAAACTTAAAGCATACAAATAATATAATTAAATATATTTTTTACTAAACCAAATGAATGTTTCTAGATTTCATACTGGTAAATCCTGCAACTATTTTTTTTATGTCCAAATTGTTCAATTGTAACAATAGACAAGTTATTTAGCCTGCCTTGATTCATAGCTGATCTGAGATAATTTTTTATTATTTTCAATTTTGAAAAGATCGCTGGCCAGATGCAACCGAAAATGGTGGTGTAAGCAAAATTCTTAATGTTATTGATGTATCTGAAAAGTTGAGATTAAATTGTTGTCACACAAATACGTAAAATTTGGTGGGGATCTTCTAACGGTTTAACTGAAGAGTGCAGTTTTAAAGCTTTAATCTTATTAAATACATACGTCAATGTCGGCCTCACCAAGGGAATCAACTGTAAGTTTTAAATGCAACATGTCTTCTTCTGAGGACTTAAAACACATTATTGAAAAACCCAAATTCATTATATCATATGTGTTTAGTTCCTCAAATCTATTATTTAAAGAAGACAAAGTTTGGTCCAAAATTCGGTAAAAAAAATATTTTAAAATTAATTTTTGGATCTACGACAACTTCGTTATTCTGCTCGCAATCAAAATGTTGCGGTTTTCTTCTTGGACGTACGGTTTGGATTGGCCAAAAAATGGTTCAACATTAATTTCATAGGCAAGGTTGTCTACTTCAGTTATAATTTTACCAAAACTTTCATCTGAACGATATTTGGTACAGTAACCTATTACATCTTTAAGTAAATTGATACATACTTTGATGTTGATGTTAGGATTCTGCATCATTTTAGTTAAGATGTTGATTTGATCCAAAATATCAAATCAAATTATTTTTGAACAAATAAATTTATAGTTTTGTATGTTTAAAGCTAATAAATAAGCTTCATGTGTTATGGTACATTGCCATGAAGAAGTATCTTCATATAGTTATTTCCAGCAAATCATCAAAGATTTTGCAAATGTGACACCGTATAAATAAAATAAAATTATCGTCTGTTCCTCCGAACAGTGCAAACTCCAAACTACAAGTGCAAATAACAACTATGTTGCATTTGCCCGATCGGATACCAACTAATTTTTGGAGCAATATTCTTTCAACACCTTTCTGTCAATCACTAAAATAATTTAATTTATTGCTAACATCCTCCTTCACGTTCCGACAAACAACACCCGCAATTCCCGAAACTTATTCCTTTATGCTTTACCGATCTACAAGTTTGGTCACTATGCACTATAAAAACTAGATGTTTATTGATTTATCGATGGCCGGATCACCCAAACAATATTTATTTCTTTGCTTTCTCCCAAAGTCCCAATAAACCCTTTCTTCGATTTGTACTTCTTTTTTATTATTTTGGGAATCTTGAAAAGTGCTGCTTTGGTTGCCAATTTGCCGCCCCCCATTGGCAGCGCCCGCGAGCGGTGCACGCCTTGCACCCCCGCTTACGGCGGCCCTGGCCACTTCTATGTTTTCTCGACGTCTCATGACCCCTACAGTACAAAAAAGTAGTCTCCCGTTTCCGTTTGTCTATCTATCTGTCTGTCTGTCTGTCTGTCTGTCTGGCGTCTGGATCCATTTTTATTAGACACGTAATCTCCGAAACTGCTGGACCGATTGTTCTCAAATTTTGTATGTATATATGTTAGAAATATCATGTAGATGGTTAAATGCTAACCAAAATTTCCCTAATCATCCCCACCAACAATTCGATGACGTCATCTCAATGAACCGTATTTTAAAATGAGTTGAATATTACATAATATATATTCCTATACTTGTAGTTTACAAGTCCGCTTTCAGTTTTTTTTATTACGTTTGTCTGCACTAGGTACTTAAAAATTATGACTTACCATAAAAACGAAGTGAAAATTTTAACGTTGTAAAGATATTTGTGCAATTTTTAACATTAGTTCTTACTGTTATTGTTACATACATTTTCAAAGATAGACCATAATGATTGACACATAATTTTAACAGGAAAATAACTGGCTGAAATATTCCCAATATTTTTACATAAATCAACAAACATCAGATGCATAAATTACCCACAGATTGCACAGCTTTTTTTATAAAATTATATCTGGCTAAATTAATTTTAATCATTCAGGTATAGGTATGTGATATATCCGAACCAATCTATTTCGAATATTTTATGTATACACATACTCGTCTAAATACTCGAACACATAGTCCTCCACCTTTGCTGCTTCTGAAACTATGTAGTTCGCTTGAATTTATCAAAAAACTCGTATTTTTTAAAATCGGTGTGTTGCTAAAGAATTTAATTTAATGTAACAAACAGCCCATGGATTTCGCTAGTGTCAAAAATATAATAACGGTAAAATGCATCCAATACAGCAGACAGTCCACAGTGTTTTCATTTGCCTAAAAAACAGATGTAATTATTTATTTTCAGGATTTCGTTCCGAATATAAGTATTTTTTTTTAGGAGTATTACTTTCATTATACATAGGTAGATAAATAACTTTCTGTAAATTTCGAGGAAAATTCGTCATATATGTACGGATGTATATATATATACAAGTTATTTAATTGTGTTTGCAATTCTGGATTGATTTCTGCTTATACTCGTAGTGTTGTAATAATATAGATATGCAAAACAGGCAACAGTACTACTATGTAATAATAATTCGAGATTTATGTATTAAGACATTCCTACACAACCAAAAGTTTAAAATTGAAATCTTATATGGTGGTATACAATTTAACCCTTATTACAGTCAAGTTTCAATTATAGTTTCCTAAGTAATACCATCAAAAATGAACAATGAACGGTGAAGAATTAGTTAATTAGGTACAAATAGCGTATACAGTTAAAGCGTGCAAGCGAAGAAACATACATCTCGTATCTTATCCGTATTACTATTCGTATTGAAGAGGATCCTGTCAGCTGCAGCTGTAAAGTGTTCTTCAGGAGACCGCTGAATAAGTAGCTTTCTTGTCAGGCACTGGACTTCAATCACACGTGTTATTACTGTGCATTACATTTTTATTTTCAACACAATGGTCCATACATTACATCATAGAACCCAGCAACCTTACATATCCCGTATTCAATGTCCACAAGTCGACTATCCGAACGTTATTAACAAAGCTGCAGAAGCCGACAATTAAAGGTGATGGTCTGATGCCAACTGAAAGCAATATATCAATCACTACAGGACTTGCTACCTTGTAAACATTTTTAACTCGAACCTTCCGTTACTTAATTATACATATACGCTGAATGCCGCAAAGATATTCTACCAAAAATTGCTCAAAAATATCATTTTTGTTATACACAGTTTTCCTGACGGAGAAATAAATATAATTATTTATTTACCTGCTACCCACTTCTTGCTAAAAAACATTTGACTCCACACTTTTCTATCTTTTCACTGATTGATTTAAATTTCAACATTATCATTGGTGACTGCCACTTTTTCTAAGGTGCTTTTTTTAAGTGTATTGCGTTTGCAATTTATTTTCTGTTACCACGTTCTTTGGAATCATTATGATTACTCAGTGTACTATAATTGAACATTTTACTACTAACATTATTACAACTTTTACTTACAAAGTAACACTGGTATTGAAATGTACTAAACATTTTAGATCTCCAGTCTTCTTGAATATAGTTCTTAGTTACTATGAATGTTATAGTCTCTTTTGAAGGGATTCAAATACTGTGCACGAAAAAATGCGAAATCTTTAACTTTTATATTGATACAATTTACAAACATTCTCAAAAGATAATGTGAGATTTTATTTCCAACCAACAAAAAGTTAAAAAATTTCAAATGAATTAAATTAAATATAGATCAAAAAATTTATCTGCCAAATCCAGTTTTCCTGAAAAAAATATTGGTCAAAGTACAGACCAACAAATTCCGCTTTTTGAAAAATTATTTAAAAAAATTGTTTTCTGGTAACCTTTATACTTATATTAATAAAAACCAGTGCTGTAAATGACACCTCGAACCATATGCGCCGCGGGGGCGCAAATTCCAATGAGATGCCGTTCACAGACATACGGACAATATGAAATATATTTGAAGCAAATAACCAACGGAAAAGAGTCTACTATTATCAGTATACATGCTTAACTTCGATTGTTTATGTTTATACATCGAAAGAATGTCACGTAGAAATTTGTTTAATTTGAATGATATTTTTTCCTAAAATTGTTTTGAATATGATTATTAATATTCTTATTTGATCATAATTAAATAAAAACGTGTCTGTTCTCACATTTTCTAGAAATGATTCTTAATTTGACAAAAAAAAAATTGGTCGAAATAAATAAGTATAACCCGACAAATCCAGCTCTTTAAAAAAATTATAAAATTTAATTTTACGATTTTCGTTTTGTGATAACCGCTGTAAAGCAAAAAGCCCCGCAGCCTTTGCACTGTACGGACAATGTAGAATATATTTAAAGCCATAACTAACGTGATAAAATGTCCTTCAGCACTAGGTAATGGCAGTCTGAAGCTCAAGTGTTTATTTATGTTCATACATCGAAAGAATGTAATGTAGAAATTAGTTTGATTTGAATGGGACTAAAACCACAATCGAACAAAGTTGTCATTATTATTATAAAGACGTGTTTTTCACATTATCCAGAAAATGGCGTGAATCATTCTTAATTTGACCAATAAAAAATTTGTAATGACGTCATCAACATGGATAATACTAATCAAAGCAGAAAAGAAAAGTAGTCACAGAGTATTATCAATGCAAGAAAAAAAATGAACGGACAAGTTCGGCCTCGAGCCCACTATCGCATGTCGCACAGCTTCGCCGCTGGTCTCCTTGCTTCCGACGGTGTTGGTAAGGTAATATAACGTTATTATACCTTGCAAATGTTTTTTGTGAAAATTTGAACGTTTAGGGAAAAAACTAACAGTGGATTCGTATACTACAAGTGTAGGAGTATATTTTTGTATAACATTCAAATCATTTTAAAATACAATTCATTGAAATGACGTCATCAAATTGTTGGTGGAGATGATCATCCAAATTTTGGGTAGCATTCAACCATCTGCATTATACATATAAAATTTGACAGGAATCCGTCCAGGAATTTCGGAGATTACGTGTCTAATAAAAATGGATACAGACAGATAGACAGACGAAAACGGGAGACTACTTTTTTCGTACTGTAGAGGTCATCAAACGTGGAGAAAACATAAAAGTGGCATTTCGTCCGATGGACTCGATTACTAACTATACTTCCTTAGGTGACGCTCGGGAAGTAAAAATACCAGTGACAGTGTAAGAAAAAAAAGTAAGCCAGTAAGGAAATCGAACACTCGACATTCTGTTATAACCAGGACGCTCTAATCAACCGAGCTAATACTTAACGTTCCTCACTTGCTCTTATATTACTGTGAAATGCATATTAATGTAAAATGACAATCTGGACATTTAGAGTAAAAAATCAAGGCGGAATCATTAACCACAGGACGTTAAAACCCATCGTACGTGTTGCAAAGTCTGTCTTTTGGCTGTAATAAATGAATAAAGTTACTATTTATATGGGTTCGACAGAACACAAAGCAGTAGACAGTAAATAGCGAAACGTAGAGGAAGAAGCATCACCTCTTAGTCACAACTTTCTGTAGGCCGAGTTGTTCAAAATAACGACAATAATAGAGAGGTGGTAGCTGCTCGGCATAGACGGGAAGCAAATCGTAATTAAGGACGAGCCGACGAAGGAGTCGAGTCCTTATTAAGATCAATCTCTTAAAAAAGTTTCTGTCCGTATTACATACATTGTTGGAAATTTTACATACTTCGCATCATTGATCCTTCGAAAAAACAATTCAACACCCCATAAATCTCAAAAATACGTTTTCTTTTTTGTAAAAGTTCTCCAAAATAATCAGATCTTGCAAGAAATGGTATTATTGAAAAAATAAATAAATACATATCTATAAGCTGCTATCATAGTAGTCTCTGCCGCATTGTTTCCATGTGAGGCAACTATTATCGTTGTCAAAAAAATGTAGTCTTTCTGTGTGATCGCAAAATGGAAGAAATTCACGAATCGATGCTGGTTGCTAATTCAAGAGCTACGATGGTTACTTTGAAAAAACCGGGTGAATGGCACTCATTTTCAGTGGCTTACACTGAAGTTTCATTAGACAATAATAATAATAATAATAATACCATTTATTGTAACCAACAGACACTAAGTCCAATTACAGGATACAATATGAAACAAACCACTTTCTTGCATATAATTAGGAAACAAAAAAATAAATTAAGTAATTCTGAAATACAAATACAAATATTTTTAATTTAAATTAAAGAGTTTCTTGCATTCCCTAATAAATGACGGACAACTATGAGTAAATATATCTACATATTTGCAAATATTGTTATAATTCCTACACATAGTAAGTATAGGCGAGTACATATGCTGATTAATCTTAGGTGTACTATAATCAAAGGTTAACATTAATCTAGATGTTGAACGAGGTACATGAAAGTGCAGCAGTCCAGTTAGAGATTCAGAAATGAATATACAATTAACTAATTTATACAAGAATACGACAGACATATAACTACGTCTTATTGCTAATGACACTTGATTAAACTCTTTTAATAATTCAGCTTGAGCGCAATGTTGATATCTACCATATTTAACAAAATATAGGTATTTAAAAAATTTTCGCTGTACTTTTTCTGTTATATTGATGTGTACATCATAATAGAGAGACCAAACAACTGAACAATACTCAAGCTTGGTTCGGACCAGTGCATAATACAAAACTAATAGACTATCTATCAATATTACTAAAATTGACCGTATTCCGTCTAATAAATCCTAGCAATTTAAGTGCATCATTTGAAATTTTTGTTATGTGTGGTATGAACGAAAGCGTAGTGTCTACTAAGACACCAAGATCACGTACACAAGACGATCTGGTTATAATTTCATTATTGATTGTATAAACAAAATTAATTGCAGTATTTTTTCGACTGATGGTCAATGACTGACATTTTTTTACATTAACAGATAATTTGTTGTTTTTGCACCAAACTAAAAATGTATTAACATTTTCCTGCAAAGTTAAACAGTCAGTTTGAGAGTTAATTGTATTTATGATTTTTAAATCATCAGCATACATAAGAAATGGACAACTAAAACAAGATTTTACATCATTTATATAAATATTAAATAGTAGGGGACCAAGGTTTGACCCTTGCGTCACGCCACTACTTACTGGAAATGTAAAAGAGCAGAAACCTTTATATTCGACATACTGGTAGCGATTACTGAAAAATGATCTAAACAAACCCAGTAAACTTTGGCACAAACCTAACCGACTGAGTTTACACACTAAAATTTCATGATCTACTATATCAAATGCTTTTGTCATATCAGTATAGATTATGTCAACTTGCATACGATTAGCAATTGCATTTAAAACAATTTGTGAAAATTCACACAAATTCGTGCAAGTGTATCGACCTTTCACGAATCCGTGTTGTTCATTAATAACTTGTAACGAAAAATGACTATACAGAACTTTAAAAAAAATCATTTCAAACAGTTTTGCAAAATTGCTGATTAGTGATATTTGTTTATAATTAGATACTAATTGTATGTTACCTGTTTTATAAACTGGAATGACTTTTGCTGTCTTCCATAAAGAAGGATATGTGGACGTATTTAAAATTAGATTGAACAAATAGCATAGCGGTGACACCAACGCATCTATACAAGTTTGATTAAAAATGCTGGTACATTGTCAGGACCCATGGTATAGTTATTTTTACGTTTAGATGCAGCGTCAAGTATGTCTTTCTCACTTATTAAAAATCTATGTAAGTCACTGTCACAAGCACTAGAGACGGTGAAAGCACTTCTAAATATGATGCAAACACATTCACGATATCTTGGGGATTAGAAAAATCAGTACCATTGTGGGACATCTTACCAGGAATTCTCGTAGATTGCTGTTTTAATTTGATGTAATTCTATAAGTTGTTTGGTTGCGCTTTGATGCTTTCCTCCGATCTTGCCAAGAAATGATGATATTCGCGCCTAATTGCATATTTGATATCACGTCTAATATCATTGAACGCATATACGAATTTTAAGAGACCAGTGGACTTGATCATCTTCCTGATATGGCGCTTCCTCCTGATTTTGTTTTTTATTTCTGCTGTGAACCATACCGGATATTTAGAATTTCTAAATGGTTTCGTTGGTACGAATGTATCAAATATATACTTTAGTTCACTGTAAAAGTAACAACAGGCATCATCAGCATTGTTGATTTCTAGTAGTTCGTTCCAAGTTTTATGCAGTAAGGTATAATACAAAGTTATTAAATCACATTTAGTCCAATCGTAAGTATGTTTGTCAAGAGCGGCTTTAAAGTTACAACGGTTAGGCAATCTGGAGCTAATTGTTGCAGAGATTGCCAAAGTGGGATGATGTGCATCTTCGTCAACCAGTGGAAAGGCATGTCTGGTAACAACACAATCTACATCTACCGAAGTGAGTACCAGATCCAAATATCTTCTGTTGGTATTTGGTATAGTGTTCATTTGCTTGAAATCATTGTAATCTAAGAAAGATTTAAGTACTTGAGAAGATCCTTTCAATGTCGTTTCAATAGTTATGGGATTGTAATCTGGAATGTTGAAATCTCCAGTAATTATAGTATTAATAGAAAGTTTTACTGACTGCTCTAAGTATTCGAATAACTCCTCATATTTGTAACTGACAGTTGCGGGCGGAATGTACACAACTATTACTTGCAATGGCAAACCATGTAATTCCAATTTCAATCCTAAGATGTCTATATCATCAAATGGAGGATGGAGATTTAAATTGGCTGTCTGGATGGTAGATCTGACTGCAGCTATGACACCACGTCCTCTACTGCCCTTATTGTATCGATATACTTGAAACCGTGAGCTGAAATATTCGCTGGAAAGTACATCATCAGATAACCAAGACTCACTTAACAAAATTACATCGTCATCAGAGGATGTCACGTTGGGATAAAAAGTATGAACTTTGGTGTTAAGCCCCCTAACATTTTGTACAGCAATAGAGATGGTGACATTATTTCTCTTCGGTGTTAAGTTTCGTGTCGGGTTGGGAGTACTCTGAAAAAAAACCTATTCACGGTAATACCGTTTGGCCACAATTCCGGATTAATAATTTTATCTTTTTCATTTAGAGGAATAGTTATCTTAAATGAAGCATAGATATTAGGCATTTTAAAATTCAACTTTTCACAATGCACTTGACTAACATATTTTCTTAATAATTCAACAATACTCTCTTCAGTGGTGCTCGGCTCCAAACGGGACACATGAAAATACGCCATTTTGGGAACACTTTTGAGAGTTGTACTTATGCTGTTTCCGCTACAAGAAAAGAAAAGTGTCAAATTTAACTACGTGTGAAGTTGTTTCGCCAACATCTTCAGGTTGCTCTGGTCAATCTCATAAAACCAATATTTCGACGTGTGCATATAGTGCAAATGCAAAAAAAATAGTAGGTGCTACTTTCTTTCAAAATTCAAAGACAAAGAAACATCATTTGCTCCAAAATTTTCAGGAGAGTTGTATAGTACAAGCTATGTACAGACGTGGGTGTAGTCACAATTCAGTATGGTAAAAATTTATAATAACACAATATCTAATCTTACTTATCGTAAAGTAAATGTTCAGATCCAAATCGTATCTGACACTTCTGTCAGCCTGTTTTCACCTTAAATGTATTGGCCAAAAAATTAAAATTTTGACCAATCAAATATAGACTGTTGTTGCGAGTCCACTTTGTCCAATTTTATTGCTAAATTTTGTCTGCTGCTTTAACATATTTTTTACGGTTTTGCTTTCAAACCACAAAATATATAACGAGGTAATCTGTTACAAAGTAATAATTTGTACTTTATATAGAAAATATACAATCCAATTCGATTCTACAAAATTATTCTATAAAAAAAAAAAAACGTGAGACTTATTTAACGCTGTAGAATGATTTTTTATTAGAATAGTCAGCTTTATTCCCCTCCCATTTTTTTTTAAACTATGAAAAAAAAATGTCACGTTAATATTTATTTATTTGTGAAAATAAGGTGTTCTCTTAACGATGATTCTTTTTGTATGTATTTTTCAAACACGATTTAAGGCGTACAGTGAATTACAAACGTATTTTTTTCATAGTTTTTGTCTCAAGCCAAAATTTTGCAAAATCAAACAATTATATGTTCTTCTATCAGCGACGTACTTTACTTACTTTAATATTTTCAGAATATTGAGATCATAATAAAAACAACGAACTATTTGTCACTCTCGTTAACAGAAAATTTCAGAGTTACCGCAAAATGATGTTAATGACCCACTTTTTTATTTATTATTATTCGATACTCAAAATTGCATTTTACGTAGTCAGAATAAGTGTAAGTTTCCCAAAGCTTCGCTTCCTTACTTACTTATTATTTTTTATTATTCGAATAAATTTGAAAATTGTAGTGCTTGACACTACCTAGGTAGAGCACTCATACCTATATGTAACTCGAAAGGCGTCTGGGGTACCCATGTGATCGCCATCTCTGAGCAAAAAATGTTCGAACAATTTATCGGGCGCATCGCAGCTACTGTCCAAGGACATGTGAAATGTGGAAATATCGTCCCTAATAAAAAAATATTTTGCAACAGCATCAGCGGAAATGGACCGCTGTTATAACACATATGTGTATTTAATTTGATTACTACCTATTTGTAGGTACCTGATGAGATGTAAAATCTAAACTGTACAAAAAAGTGCTGATTAGTCATAAATTCTAATCGCCTGCTAACAGTTCAAGCACGTAACTGTAATGATCGGTAGTCACTTCATTGTTCGATTCAACATTAAAATCTCCAAAACTAGCCGCAGGTTACTATTAAGAACAATGTGCAAAGCATTATAGTGGCTGTAATCCATAGAAAATCTATTTTACGAGTTTCCACTCCCAGATACGAGGGATTGTTTATGCGCTAATCTTGACAATAGAGAAGATGAGCATTTCATAAGTTGCAAACAACTCGTTAAACTAGTAGTTAAGAAATAGATGTCCTAATAAAAGTTAAAAGCAAACATTTTTATTCTGAGCAAATATTTATTATGTGCTGTCATACTTGTGACACTAGAATATAAAAATATTACACTTATTTATTGAGAGGAGCCATTGAATGTGTGAAAGTATAGGTATTGTCTGTCCGCAATATTATCATTACAGCCGTAACTTTGCATTCGTATTTATATTTCGAGTGAAGCAATAACTTATTCGGTGTCCTTATATCAGCTTAATGATGTCGTTGCATACTAAAATGTATTAACAAATGTAAATTAGGTTGATAGTAGTTGACGGATTTTCAATGGTGAGGTGTTTAAATAACGTTACTTAAAGTGTTTGCACAACAGCCATATGCGATCTGTAATAACTGAACAAACTTTTTAGTGAAAGTTTGAAAAATATGATTTATCGAAAATTTGAACTCATTTTCTAAACTTTCTTTCTTATTGTTTTCTATCAAATACGGCAGTTATCTTTATATTACAAAAATTATGAAGTTACTTTTCTCCACTTATTGGAGCTGACAAACCTTAAAGTCACTAGCTGGGAAACGAACAACGTGACTACGTGGTCGATAGAAAGGTCCTTTAAATATGGAGGACTGCTTGGCATGTTGCTGAAATAAATTTTTTACCCGTTTTCGTTCTAGGAAACTAGCCAGATTTTTTCTAATAATAATATAATAATATATTTTCATAGACAACATAATTATATAATAAATAATATAATAAAAAATACAGGATTGTAGATAAAAACAGTATTTGCAATATATAAATAATTCAACATAAATTTAATCGAATCCAAATTTACTTGTTATCATTAAAAAGCTGTAAAACCTACATAACAACATACAGTATTCATTTCCTTTGTAAACTGTCTTAGGCTTCAAGGGTTTTCTACAAGGGAAGTTGTAGAATCAACATCATTATATAACAAAACTCATCATATTTTTGATGTAGCGAACAAAATTTCTTCAGAAAAGAAATGATTTCCCCTACATATAGCTGCTGTGTATACTGCCTCTTTAATTTCCAGTGGAGTGTCTATGAAAATATCTTCATTTTGAGTAATGTTTGCATCCAACTTCCTTATTCTTTAAAATGTATTAAACAATGCATTTTATTTGAGTGATGTCCGATACCGGTTTGAAATAACAAATAGTGACCAAGCGTGTTTAATGAACACGAAAACTGCCGAAGGCACTCCAGATGTGACTAATGAGCCCGAACGCATCTTAGACCCGTGTTTAATATGTCCAAATCCACGGATTATGAACCTATTGTTAAAAAATCATTTAGTGCCGTGCATTTACGTTTGCTAAACAAGATTTTAGATACGGAAGTAGAAAAAAAAACACATTATCTGCTTAATTACGACTTTTTTAATGTTTGGTAGAATGATCGATTATTTTATTCAACAATAACAAATAAGGAAATCTTAACATCTCCTATGTATATGCATAATTTTTTTAGCAATTGCTGATTAGTATGAATACATGTTTTATTTCATCCACATCGTTTACACCTACATGATTAAATATATATTTTTAAAAATGAGCATGTACTTTTCCACTTGTATCATATTCGTACTGTATACGTCTCATTCTATTCCGTTATGGAATAATAACACTCAATTTTATTCATACAATCTAAAAAATATGTGGAAAACATAATAGCAGTTTAGGCAAAGTATCAAAGTAAGGATCCCAAGAACAGCCATATTTTTTTATACACGGAGTTATAGGGATGTCATGAATTTTCTTTTAAATTTTACTTCAAAAAATAGGCATTAAAGAACACGATTTCGTCATAGGCTGGCTGATCATTTTAGTTTTATCAGTAACTCAGT